ACCTATTAAAGCTTCGCTTATGGAAGTTAATAGTTCCAATTCCCCCCATTAGTGATCTTCTGAATGGCACAGAAATGTTGTTTCATTACAATTTGATTTCATGGTTTTATTTTTCGTGGATAGAACTACTTTCTTGTCTTTATTATGGCAGCAAGTCTATATTGTAGGTTATTGTACAGACTCTGCTCAATTGCATTTGATTAGGTTTCACAATACTAGTACTCCATTATACTACCATTTCTGGCCCAATTGTTTATGTAGCTTAACTGAGAAATTACTTGATTTCAGCTTCCTGGTGCTATCAGCTCATTTCCTCCAGAGGACAGTTTCCAGCAAGATGATAGATCGTTGGAGGAAACTATTAATTACCCTCTCTTGAAAACCCAATCATCTAGTCTTTCTGAAATGCTGAAGGACAGCTTTAAGAAAAGTGATAGTTTTACGAGATGGATGAGCAAAGCACTTGGTGAAGTAGATGATTCCCAAATTAAGTCCAGTTCTGGAGTGTACTGGAACAGTGAAGAGACCGATAATATCATTGAAGCATCAAGTCGTGATCAGTTGGATCAATTCACTCTTGACCCAGTGCTTGCACAAGACCAGCTGTTTAGTATAGTTGATTTCTCTCCAAGCTGGACATATGCAGGCTCCAAGACTAGGGTATGCCTTCTAAAGCTTTTCATATGTTCTTGGCTCAAAAGTCTTGGAAGTGTAATAGCTTTGTCCTAATGACTCTTTGAATCTAGTCTTCTTTAGCTGCTTATGATGTATCTTGCATACCATCCAGGTTCTCATTACAGGTAGATTCTTAAATTTTGATGAGATTGAAAGATGCAAGTGGTCATGTATGTTTGGTGAAGTCGAAGTTCCAGCAGAGATATCAGCTGATGGGACTCTCAGATGTTATTCCCCGTCACACAAACCTGGCAGGGTTCCTTTTTATGTCACATGCACCAACAGGTTGGCCTGCAGCGAAATCCGTGAGTTTGAGTTCCGGCCAAGTGTTACTCAATACATGGATGCCCCGAGTCCACATGGTGCTACATACAAAACATATCTCCAGATGCGTCTTGATGACCTGTTGTCTTTGGGACACAATGAGTACCAGGCAACAGTATCTAACCCCACAAAGGAGATGGTTGATTTGAGCAAGAAGATAAGCTCACTGATGACAGACAATGATTCCTGGTCCAAGTTGCTAAAATTGGCTAGTGATAATGAGCCTGCCACTGATGATAATCAGGATCAGTTCTTTGAAAAACGCTTAAAGGAAAAATTGCATTTCTGGCTTGTCCACAAAGCAAGCGATGGTGGCAAAGGCCCCAATGTGTTAGATGATGAAGGGCAGGGTGTACTTCATCTAGCAGCTGCCCTAGGATATGATTGGGTGATAAGGCCAACAGTTTCTGCTGGTGTGAATATAAATTTTAGAGATGCTCATGGATGGACTGCACTCCATTGGGCTGCATTTTGTGGCAGGTAAATGTTTCAGAGTGTGATATTGTATGTGCACATATTTTATATGCATACTGATGTTGCTTCACCTGTTGTCCAGAGAGCGAACAGTTGTCGCACTTATCGCACTTGGTGCAGCTCCAGGAGCTTTGACAGACCCAACGCCAGATTTCCCTACAGGAAGCACACCAGCTGATCTTGCATCAGCTAATGGATACAAGGGAATCTCTGGTTTCTTGGCGGAGTCTTCTTTAACAAGTCATCTTCAGACCCTTGATCTTAAGGAAGGCATGGGGAGCAATGCGCCAGAAATATCCGGTCTGCCAGGTATTGGAGATGTAACTGAAAGAAGAGCATCACCATTAGCAGGTGAAGGTCTTCAAGCTGGATCCATGGGAGATTCACTAGGTGCTGTTCGAAATGCTGCCCAAGCTGCTGCTCGAATATATCAAGTTTTCAGGGTGCAGTCCTTCCAGAGAAAGCAAGCAGTTCAGTATGAGGATGACAATGGTGCAGTATCAGATGATCGTGCCATATCACTCTTGTCTGTTAAACCATCTAAACCTGTACAGCTTGATCCCCTGCATACTGCTGCAACTCGAATACAGAACAAGTACCATGGATGGAAGGGAAGAAAGGAATTTCTACTTATCAGACAGCGCATTGTCAAGATCCAGGTATTGTTATTTGTTGTATTATACATGAGTAGTGATCCGCTGAGTGTTCCAGCTTAATAGTGTATCATTCTATTCGCGATTTGTTTGAGTATACCATGCAAAAAATTCTGTTTTCCTTCTGGCAAATTTTCAGTGAACCATGCAATGCTCAGTCAGTTCGAATTATATTTTCATAATCAAGATATGTTGTTGATGCTATTTCAATATTTTGTTATTGAATAATGCTATTTTAGCAATCAATGCTGAAAGCCTGAAACTTGTCATCGTCTCCTGGCTAGGCTCATGTGCGAGGTCACCAAGTGAGGAAGCATTATCGTAAAATCATTTGGTCTGTTGGAATAGTGGAGAAGGTCATATTGCGTTGGAGGCGAAAAGGGGCTGGGCTGCGTGGGTTTCGGTCCACAGAAGGTGCAATGGAGAGCAATAGCAGCAGCAGTAGTAATTTGATCCAAAATAAACCTGCTGAGGATGATTATGATTTCTTACAACAAGGACGGAAACAAACCGAAGAAAGGCTGCAGAAAGCTCTTGCCAGAGTGAAGTCGATGGCTCAGTACCCAGAAGCTCGGGATCAGTATCAAAGGATTCTGACTGTTGTGACAAAAATTCAAGAATCGCAGGTATCAAGGTCTTCTTTTTGTTTCGTAGCTTCGCTTTATCAACTGACTTTCCCATTCTAATGCTCTGAACTGATGTAACTGTAATGGGACTATTGATTCATTGTTTTCACATTTCTTTACTGCTGGTATAATAGGCCATGCAAGAAAAGATGCTCGATGAGTCGACCGACATGGATGAAGGCTTCTTTATGAGTGAGTTCAAAGAGCTTTGGGATGATGACGTGCCAATGCCTTCTTGGTCATAACAACTGGTGTATATATGCTTGTAAATTATTTGTTAGTGTTACCAAATTGATAACCCGCAGTTGCGTTGCTAAGTTATAACCATCTAGTGTGTACATATTTTAGTTTGGTTCTGGTCTTAGTTATTTAGCTGTAGTGTTTTGTACAGTATATGTTGTACAGATGGAAAAACATATTTACTGAAGACTCTTTTGAATGAATATATATGGTTGACTTGTTTATACTTTCGACCAGTTGCATAAACAAAGGTTTATGTATATTAAACATGTCGAATTGTCCTTGACTCTGTAAAGTTTGTTCAGTGTTGGGGGCTTTGGTTCAAGCCCCTGTTTGTAAATTCTACCAATTGGATATTCATCTTATAGTAGCATGGATTCTAGGACAAATCAGCGAAGGAACAATGTTTTTCTCTCGTAACGAATCAGCGAACAGGGCCATGCTATAAACTGGAGCAGCATTCTCGTGGCAGTGGCAGTGATGTTTTTCACGTATGCCGTATTTGCTGTGAGCTGAAAAGTCTGAAAGCCCTTGGTTTTCTTTCTTGTCTGAACCGAAACCGCTTGATGTGTACGTTTCGATTACTAAATATGCACGGCACTAATGCCTGAAGAGCCCATAAAACTAAGGCTGTGTTTAGTTGTACGAAGTTGGAATTTGGGACTACTGTAGCACGTTCGTTTTTATTTGGTAAATAGTGTTTAAATATGTCAAAACGTTCGTCTCGTAATTTCCCACCAAACTGTGCAATTAGTTTTTTTTTCGTCTACATTTAATACTCCATGCATGGGCCACAAACATTCGATGTGACAGGTACTGTAGCACTTTTTTGGATTTTGGCTTCAAACTAAACACGCGCTAACCCAAATAAAGCCTGGCAGTTCAACACTTCAACCAACAAATGTCAGAGCAACAAAGCCCGATAAAATAAACAATCATCTGGCACGGTGTGGCACTGGCACTGAAAGCGATCATTTGACCACCCTGAGCCCACAGATTGTCTGAGAAAAACGAAAGAATTGCAAATGAATTCGGTTTCGTTTGCGTCTACTACCTGTAGTCCTGTTTGATTCGTTGCGTTTTTAATCGGACGACGTCGACGTATAACTGAACTACTGAAGCACAGCACAATGGACGTGTGCCAAACTGCCGATCGCCTGTAAAAAGGAAATTCCGGTTCCCGGAAGGTCATTGTCAGCTTTTTCACCTCCGCTCGACCGTAAATAATTTTCCTAAAAAAGTAACCAGACTGCGCAAGGAATGGGATGTTCTCACATTCATGATTTGCCAATTGCCACTACAAAATTCTCCGTGCCTTGGTTGAGTTGCGGCACGAAAACGGAAGTTCACTAAATATATACAGTTAGAAATGCATGCCATAGTTTTGTTCTCAGTAACATGTATAGATCGTAGAGCTGCATGGTATTAAAATTTTACAAGCACAAGCACTGTGAGTAATTGACTTCCAATAAGGATTTCGTAAAGCACTAGAAAAAGAGAGCAGGTAGTTGCGCTAATAAGGGTGGAGCTCAAAAACACACCTTTCAAACTCTTCTATTTATTGGTCGCCACGGATAATAATAAACACTCGCTTTTAATGCTACCAGTGCAGTTGTCAAAATAATAATAATAATAATGCTACCAGTGCAGGATACAGTGCAATTCGGGCACATATACATGAATGATCCTATACCGTCTTCGTATTTGCCGGCAAATTTACCCTATCCGTCGGTTCCCTGAAAAAACTCTGTTCCCAGAAATTTACTCCTGATATGATATCCGTAAAATCTCATCGCAGAAATTTAATTCAGTAATAGAACGCTTCCGATTTTTTTTAACAGATGGCCAGAGATTATTGTATACTGGCACGCGTAGAACTCCGCTGACGGCAAGTCATGCTGCCTGCACTGCGCCTTGCAGCCCCCCAATTGCCCTCAGCAGAGCTTCCTCTTCCTCACTGTGGTGGCCACCTGGTGGGGGATCCGCACCTCCCCACGCCGGCGAGCTCATGGCCCCCTCGCGGCCGGAGGATCTCCAATGCGCCGTGAACGGCAACTGCGCCGCCCCGCCGGGGAAACCCCTGGAGGCCCCGCCGGCGCTGGCCGCTGGGGACGGTGAGCTCCGGTGGCTGCGGCGGTGCGTGGAGGCGGCAGCGAAGGGCTTCGCCATCGGCGCGGGCCTCAAGGGTGGCCTCGCGCTCTTCTCCGTCCTCGTCCGCATCCGCAGCCGCCGCTCCCCCAGATCGAGGTCTCTCTCGCGCGCACAAGCGGGATGCTTTGGTGCGGGGGTTTTTGGTCTTGGTGGTTCTAAAACTAATTCTTGTGCCGTGGCGTGCTGGTGAGTGCAGGAAGACCGGAGCTATGACGAACGAGGAGGCCGTGGTGCTCGCGGTTAAGGAGACTGTGAGGTACGGCTTGTTCTTGGGGACCTTTGCCGGCAGCTACGTCTCCGTCGATGAGTACATCGCTGCCGTCTGGGGACGTAAGAGGTCAGTTCACGGGACCATCACAGTTGAAAATTTTTCCTATTTGGGGACTGCGAATTTGCTTGATGTGGAGATGATTGGCGATTGCTTCTGTGATGATTCGAACAAACCATGTGTGTTGCCTTTGGTTAATCCGATGCGAAGATAGTGGAGTAGGTGGGAACTAGGTGCATTTAGTTATCTGTCAAGTGATGTGTTGAATGAACATGTCTAGAAGATGAGAAGCAACAGAAAATAGATCCTGCGGCTTGTGTTACTTTTCTTTAAATATTAGTATGAGAGGCCAGAGCTGGTGCTTTGGTGAGGATTAATTGAATTTCGATAGAAATAGTTCTTTCTTCTCGGGTACTGGGAAGTGCATGCATGATTGCTGACTGTGGTGAGAATTGATCACAGTTCTACAATTGCAAACAATTCTTCCTGTGGAAGCAATTTTGTTCATTAGTGATCCAAGATGCTAGTTTTGATTGGACAAGTGCTGCATCACTGTGTTGTTTACTAAGATTAGTTGAACCAAGAACTCGTGAAATTTTGTTTATAGTATAGGACTTCTGCAACCTGCTGTTATTCAGTGCTATTGTTGTGAGAATCTCAGTAGTCCTGTACTGTGAAGTACTTTGATATAGTATTGATCAGACCTGCATGCTAGTGGACTAGTGGTCTTTTGATTTTATTGATGTATGAGATATCTTTCATGGGTGTTTTGATGAACCCAGATATGATCAAGATGCTATGCAGCAGTCCCTATCTTGCCATTTTGTAGTTGTTTCTCATTGACACAACACCTCAGAATCTTGTTCCATTACAGCTTCCACATCTCTTTGAATCACTAGGTCGATTTTGTTGGATAATGTATAACTGAATACTCTTGTTGCTTCAGAACAGCAAGGTGGAGGTCATTATTAGCTGGGTTGATTGCTGGTCCTTCTATGCTCCTGACAGGACCAGGAACTCAGCATACTAGCTTGGCTATATACATTCTGATGCGTGCAGCAGTGCTTGCATCCCGTTGTGGAATAAAGAGCAAACGTTTTGGAAAGATCTGTAAACCTTTGACTTGGTCACATGGTGATGTCTTCCTTATGTGCCTCTCATCTGCACAAATTTTGTAAGTTCCCTTCAAATATTCAATATTTTTTTGTTAGGTTCTAGTGATTGTTTAGAAGTTAAAAATCATTGTTAATGTTTTCCAAGTTATGCCGTGAATGGAACTGTTTAAGGCCCCCTTAGGAACAAAGGAAAAATGAAGGAATTCTATAAAGTATTGCAATCCTATAGGAAAATTTCCTACGAGAACCCCTTTGGAACAAAGGATCGGGTTCCTACAATTCCTATGAAATTCATATGGAATGGCTTGTTTCATAGGAATTTTACCAAGAGGTTGAACTTCATGGAAAGTATCCTTGGTGTCACTCATCAAATTCATGTGTTTTTTGTCCAATCCATCAAAACATTCAGTTTCCTGTGTTTTCTCAATACATAGGATTCAAGATGTCAGGGCATTATATTCCTACATTTTTTCTTTTCCTGCGTTTCTAGAATCCTGCATTCCAAAGAGGCCCTAAACCAGTATACCATGCACGAAAAAGTTTCTATTCTCTTGTCATGGGCAAATTGATTAGTCAGGACTGCATATATATCATCCCATATATTCTGTAGCATGTGAAAATAGCGATTTTTTGCCTCCATTATTTTCTATGCAGGTCCGCATACATTTTAAAGCAGGAGAGTTTACCATCGTCGTATAAATCATTTCTAAACAAGCATGGTGGAAAAGATCTTTCTATTTTGCAAGGTGTGAAGGATGTAGTCAACCACACTGCTTTCAGTAACTTAGTGGGTATCAAGAAGTACTACAAATCTGTTGGTGTTGACATAAAGCTAGATCCGAACATGAAAGTGCCCTGCTCAGTAAGTCTTAAGATCCATATGAATGAATTATTGAGCTACTATCCATTGTACTTTGAAATTTGGCCTATCAAGCATCCAGTAAATAGAATCAATTCTGTGGCATAACATTTCTCTGTGTCCGTGCTATCTATAGCTAATCTGTTTTCAGTTTTTGTTAATTTTCTTTTCTCCCATGATCTAACTTCTTATGTTTGCTTTCCAGATTGTGCATGGTAACCAGTCATGTACAGGACATGTCTTTTCATTCTTGTTACAAGCATATGGAAGAGCAGTTCCTGTATACGTTCCAGTCTACTTAGTCCCTGCACTTGTAGTTCATAGGCAGCATCTCATGAAAAGGTATACTAATATATGACGATGCAATTACGGTGACAAGTTTAGTTGTTAATTGGGAGAAAAACGTTTTTCTGCTGTCAAAAACCATGCACACTGCATCAATTGAGCCTGATGTGCCAAGGATGATTGTGCTCCATAAATTTATCCTATTTTGGCTGAAAAAGTCAAAATGATAACAAGCAGAATTCGTGAACAATATATCTGTTATTCAAAGCTGACATGCTGCCTTCTCCATTTTTTTTAAAAAAAAAGGATGCAGTTTCTCTAACTGTTGTGTCCCTTAAAACATGCAGGCCTTACTCAATTATAGGGAAGAGTTTTCTAGGAGTAGCAAGATCTAGTCTGTTTCTCTCAGTATACTGTGCATCTGCATGGTGAGTTCACTATTTATTATTCTGCTCTTGCAGTAAGCATCTAGATGTATAATCATTTTTTTCCCCTTGGGATGGAATTAATGGTGTTTCCTTCTATATATCAGGGCTTGGACCTGCCTGCTTTTTAGGACCTTCCACAGAGCCAATACCCCTCTTGTCATCCTTGGCACGGTATGCAGAACAACTTTGGCACATGAATTCAGCTTCTTTTCCTAATCCTGCAGCTTTATGATACCAAGTTGTTTTCATATGACAGTTTCCAACAGGTCTGGCGTTGCTTATCGAGAAGAAGAGCAGGAGAATTGAGATATCCCTGTACTGTCTTGCCAGAGCTATCGAGAGTTTTTTCACATGGATGACCGATGCAGGACTCTGCCCTCCAATACTGCTGATAAAGCAAGCCGATGTGGTTGTGTTCAGCATAGCTACCTCTATCATTATGCACTGCTATGCGCAGGAAAGAGAAGTCTTCCGGTCCAAGTACCTGAATGTGCTGGACTGGGTATTTGGTGTGCCGCCACCACCTGACAGTGAGGATAAGAATTGCTATCGGCCAGATGAAGCCAAGAAATGCCAGTGACATACTGGCTTGTAGAGTTCGTTACATGATTTTTGTATGGTCTCGTGATCCTAGCGCGAGACTAGACCCATTAGAGGGTTTAGTGAACAAACCTTGTACAGGACTCCTCCACAATCGGGACTTAGTGGATATAGCAAAATAGATTTATTCAATTGATTTGTCAAAACGATGCCCTGGTCAATTAAATGACCATATGTGGTTGTAACTTATGACCTTGATGTGTGAATGTAACTTATGGTCTTTGAAATCGTTAAATTGAAATTGCCCATTCTATTGTTTCGTAGACCGTTGTGGCTGAAGAATTTGGACTGGAACCTTGCCATTTTAGGTAAAAGAGGAAGGGATGAGAATGCAAATAGAAAATCATGCTTAATGAAATACATTTCTTAGTCTTTTAATCGTATTTTGGGGTAACTTCTCGTTTTTTGTTCCTACATGACCCAACCCCACTGTAACACTTTGACTACGTGCTTTAAAATGATTTTCTCCCCTTATGATTAATCCTCCATCCATCAATGCAAAATGTATGTTTTTTTTAAGATCAAAGTGTATCAATTTTGAAAACAATGAGTCCAGTCATATGGATGTTGTATATCAATTGATTAATTTTTCAACTACTAATGGTCTCGAATTTGTAGCGATTGAAAATATAACAAAAAATACTTATTCTAAATGGTATGTACTACTTACGTGTGTGTTCACTTACAATGCGCGTATACTTCAGGGGGTCCGTATTGCGTATCCAACACGTATCAGATACGGATACGCCTCAGATAGAATTGGTTGAGTCTTCGTCGAATCAGTGAGCAGTTTTTGGCCCGCTTCAAAAAGCGTGCGTGGCATCGTTCCCAGTTTCTTGACATGAGGCCACGGCCACCACGCGCGCGAGTGTGCTGCCGGTGACGAGCTCGGGCCGTGGCCGGGTGGCTGCCGCTGGTCAGTCTGCATTCCGTTGTCACGTGTCCCTTGGTGCCGCGCAACGCCTTCGCCTCGCCATGGCCGAGTCCCGCAGGCCACCCCTAGTGGTCGGCCGACTAAGCGCTAGGGCAGGCTTGGCTGCCACTGCCCCGCGTCGTGTGCACGTATTGCCAAGTCGCGCACAAGACTACACTCTGCCTTCCCTATCACTTTGCCTCGCCCTGTAGCGCGCGTTCACAGCCGCTTACCTCACCTACCCCACTCCTACTCATGCCGCCTCCTGCCGCATCGCGACGCCACGCTGCCGCGTACACATGGCCGCACAGGTACCCCCAAGGGCTCCACCCGAGCATTAACCACACAACCCCTACCCTCACTCATGGGGTTGTGTCCTCATGCTACCATGCCTTGTCGTGTCTTGGCTGGTCCGCGTTAAGTCGAGGCCGCTGTCCACAACGTAGCAGCGGCAGCACACCATTACTTCCTTTCAAATTCACCAACTCGGGCTTTGCAGCGCAATTCCCCGCATCAGTGGGTGGCATAGGTAGTCAGCTACGTGCCCTGTTCTCTTAAAGCCCGACCGATCACTACCGACCGACAATTTGGCGTTTTGCTCGCCGCAGGCCGTGGGCGTCGCCGAATCAGTTGGTTGGGAGGTAAGGCATGTAGGAGTGGTAGCAGTTCGATTGCTTGTAACCCTGAACTCGTCTTGACTTCTTCTATCCGATGCTCGCATTATTTTGGCCAGGGAACTCATCGGCGACGTGGTGGCGTGTCGGTGTCCGGCTCGGGGCGTCACCACCGTGCCCGGGCGCACGTGGCTAGACCACCTCAGCTTTTCTTTGCTTCAACCGTCACTATAGCGTACACCACGGTGAGCTACTGATTCTTCTCCGCCATCTCTACCTTTCCGTGAGGGCGTAGGCTCGCCGGAACGCTCGTGCCGCCGTACGGATCCACCGTCGTTGAGGCTAGGGTTGAGTAGCACATTGTTGGACTTTCCGCTACCTCTCACCATTGCGCGTTGACCCATGAGTCCTAGTAGGTCTAATGGACACACCGATTTGGCCCTCGGTAGGCCGGTGTGTCCGTGTTGTTCCGGCCAGGGCCACGTCGTCGCGCACGGGGACGCCGGGGACCACCCCGTTGTGAAGGCGACACATTACAGGGTCCTAAGTGCAAAACTTGAATCTGTTGTAATAGTGTTTCGCTGCGTCGCTTAATTGTCCAAAAATACGAGTCCTATTTTACAAAATGAGCACGCCCGCGCGGGCGCCCTCGGCCTTGGGCTGTACTGGGCCGCCGCACCGCGCTCGCGGCCGCGCTGCGCTGGGCTGCCGGGCTAAATGGGGTTGCTGCCGACCCTTTTCCTTTTCTAAGCATTTTCTAATTTAGGTTCTAAGATAAACTTGTAAATTCAATATAAAATTGTGTAGTTAACCGAAAATTATGAAACTAATTTTGTTAGCTTCCTAAAATCATGATCTATCTGCTAGTATATTTTGTTCACATAGTTTTGCAATATTTTCAGAAGTGATCAAATTAATTTGAGATGCTTAATATTGTTAAGATATAAATTTGAAGGAATTTTTGTGATAAATTGGTGATAGCGTTGGCTCTGAAACTTTCACAGTAAATTTCTAACATTATTAGATGATCACTATAATTTTTGTAGCTCCATAATAATTAGTTTGCTAAGGTAGCTAAATGAGCTCTAGTTCGAAAATATATGTTTAATCAATAAAATGCCGAAATATCTTGAGATTTTAGAACTAAAATATTTTTCCAAAAACGAAGCCTTACCTGATGACGTGGATATGTAGCCTAGCACGCTAGTTGTTAGAGCTAACTCGTTAGCTTGCGGAGCGTAATCGTATTTTAGAGTTGTCGTTGCCGTTGATTATTTACGTCTCTACGTTACATCCATGTATATCATAATAAGGACAACCATGGATCATGGAGTCGACCGAAGTAGCGAAAAAGATGGTGCATGATGATTGTGTCGCCAAGATGGAATGCTAACTTTTGGTATATCTCACCCAGGCAAGCCCCGGTGCATAATTCCTATTATTCTGCACTTTATTTTATGCTTGTGCATTAAGTTTTATGGAGTTGAATGAAAACCACTTGCATATATATATCCGTATCCTATGAGTCCTACTAGTATGTCAGGATCGTGTAGATTGCTATGCTATAGGATCCGGTAGAAGTCGAGTGATTACTTGTCACTCGCAAGAGATATGAGAGATATTATTGTTGTTATTATATTACCATCACATAGAATATATATGAATGATAATTGGAGACCGGGCGGAATGATATTTTGGATCAGGACTTGGTTAGGCATTCGAGCGAGGCTTGGATTGCATTGGTTCCGCCTGTGTCGATTGAGGACCGTCTATTGCTGTGGATGGTAGTCAGGTCACAGCCTTATTAGCCTGAGCACATACTTGCTTATGGGAGCGGAAAGGCTTGTTACGCTCTTATCGCGGATTCTGGCTCTTTTCGGACTGACTGATTGGAGGCGAGAAAAGATGGAGGTCTAAGAACTATACTGAGACCGGGTCTCAAATGTGGAGGCTTAGAGTCCAAGTTTGGATGGGGACCTGGATCTCGTGACAAGAGTGGAATGGGTTGGTCTTGTTTGTGTCTGGGGTACAAACGGGGTGTGTGTTTCGGGATACCCAGCTGTGATACATTGATTCACGAATCGTCGTTTCTGTGAAACGGTACGACTTGGCTATGGTTTAGCACCATAGTAAGAACTGAAACTTGAAAGATGATAAAAAGATTCTGATTGCTTACCACCTGCTTGAAAGCAGCATAAGTGCTTACATAGAATGGTTAGTTAATAAACTAATGATGACTGCTAATAAAATTGAATATAAAGACGCACATTTAGTAATGCTTCCGCAGATGCAATAACCCATAAGCCAAATAAGCCTTGCATGTCCTTGGAGTCTTTTATTTTTCTCCGGTCAGGTAAGTCTTGCTGAGTACAATCGAGTACTCAGGGTTTTATTCACTCTATTGCAGGTGATCGAAGGATATATAGAGCTAACTCTTATGTGTGGAAACCTTCTGGTGGGCTTAGAGAGAATTCCTTTCACGCTACAACCGTAGTGTTTATTTATAACCCTCACTAAAGGTTTTTATAAGAAAAGATGTAAAATCTGCTAGCATCTCTTGTATACAAATGTCCACTATATTCATACTCCACCAGGTCATTAAATGAATCTTTGCTTCCTCTATAACTCAGATAATATTGTTGTACTCCGCTGATATAATAAATTGAGGTAAAATTCTGTACTGTAATAAAGTGATGTAAGAAATGATTTAAAATGTTGTAGGTTTTATTCTCTCATTTATGATCCTGATGGAAAAATATGGATTTTCCAGTTCTCTCTTTGGGTGTGCTCAACAAAACTGCGTAGTTTAGTGTCATCTCTTGAGTATTTAGTGTCTAATGTAAGGCAAGTACTTCTGAGAGGCATTAGATTAGGCAGTTCTGCCACACTATCACTGCACCCACTCCTCTCTCTTCTAACAGCACCGGTGCGATCAGTATTGCTCGGGACCCCGTCAAGCATGAACTTACCAAACACATTGGCGTTGATGCTTTCTACATGAGATCGCAGGTGCATGATCAGGTTGTGACCCTCCACCATGTGCCTTCAGAAGTTCAGCTCACGGATTTCTTCACGAAGGCACAGACACGGGCCCAACATAGATTTCTGCTCTCCAAACTCAGTGTTGTAGATCCACCATGAGTTTGAGGGAGGGTGTCAGATGTATAGGATGTATGTCTTTTTCCTCTACTTGGAGGGCTTCTTTGCATATGTACACTTTATATTTGCCCCTTTGGGCCTGAAATAGAGTTCAGTTGGTCGCTCTCTAACAATCATCTGCATTACAATGTTGCTATTGTCAGCATCAAAAGTTTCCGTTGTCTTCGTACAGAAGAATTTCATGATCCAGGGCAAATTAAGTGTAAGGAGGTATTATATGTAGGACGTGTCTTCAAGTCAGGCAAATTAATGGCCACAAGTGGGATATTGACTGACAAACCCAGCAAACTTGACTGCAAAGAACTTATGGTCTCGACTTGTAGACTCAGTAAGGTACACTGAATCTCCAAATTGAAGTCTTGTTTTTTCCTCGTAAAAGAAAGGCTTTAATTTTCTTAGTGGAACAATTTGTTGCATTACAATATGAACAATTTAATATAACACTACCAAACATTGCCATGCCTTACTAAACCTAGCCAAAGGGGTGTCTAACAAATTGACGGCCACACCTCAGGCAAGGTTTGGGAAATAAATGAGTGCATGACACATGTTTCCTAGGAAATGAAACGAACAACTGTCTTACAGTGTGGCAAAGATTGGCAAAGTGTGAAATGCCCCGCTTCTGCGGAACTACACATGTAAGGCATTTAAAACATCTTTTCATATGTGCTACTTTGTTTTTGTGCTAGGCTGGGATTGGAGGGCCCCTCATTAATTGTGATGGGAATTTCGTTGGTATGAACTTCTACGGTAGGAAAGAGACTCTGTATTTACCAAGGGATATAATTATGAAATTATTGAGCTATTTTGATGGAAAAGGGTCTGTTTTATATGTTTATATGTAGACCTATGTGATCATTTTAGTCTTTTAAAAGCTAAGATAATTATTTCCGGATGCTGAACTGTTTTGTGTCTTGTTGTAGGGACGTCTCTCCTGAGATTATGGACAACGAAAACAGAAACAGGTATGTGTGTTTTTTAATTATGAAGCGACTCAATCATATTTGCTCACATGTTCGGCTGGTATTAAAGCCGGCTGATAAGCCGGCTGAAGCTGTTTTGTTGTGAGAGAAAAATACTGTAGATTCTAGTTGATAAGTCGGCTGATAAGTTCAAGCGAACAGGCCATTTGTCTCACGTTAGTAATTCAGTGACTTGTTCAACAACCGATGGCCTGTGCCGAAGTTACGTTGGCATTATCCTTCCTTCTCCAGCCATCGCAAGATAGAGCCGCGTAATGAATATATAAAATATTAGTAATTTATATCCATGCCTATCTAGTCTTGAACATGATGCATCGGTTGCTATCTACTACTGGAGTAGCTAATGGCTTTATTAGCTTGAACTCCTCGATTGGACTCCTGTGTTGTGCAAGGGCAGATCTGACAAAGCATTCTTGAACTCTACTAATTTACAGATTGATTTGGTCTCTATGATCTATGTTATGTCTATTTAGGATTATATCACTCTCTGTGTTCCCTGTTGGCAAGTAAGTCCCATCACTACCGGATCCGCCAGCTTTGTCGAGTGCCCGGGGCATTCGGCGAAGACCCAAAAACACTCGACAAACGACACCCGGCAACCCATTTAACGGCAAAAGCTTGTTTGCCGAGTGTTTTTTGTCGGACACTCGGCAAAGACGTTGCCGAGTGCAAAAAAAAAAACACTCGGCAAACTTTTTTAAAAATAAAAAATAAAAAAGGCAGGCCGCCATCCACGCCCGCACCACCAGCACCGCCGCCGCCATCCACGCCTGGGGTGCGCCGGCCACCACCACCACCACCACCACCACCACCACCACCACCACCACCACCACCACCACAGCCGCCGCCATGGAGCCCGCCGTCAGATCCACGGATCCACCGCCACCGGGATCCAACCCACCGGATCCGCCGTCGGAGGACACCTCTCCGTCGGATCTGCGCCGTGGTGGCTCCATCCCACCGGATTCGCGATGCCACCCGCCGGTGGAACCATGGAAGGAGGGGAGGAGGGCGGATCTGCACCGCCACCCACTGCTGCTGCTCCGCATCGCGGGGAGGGGCCGAGCAGCCCTGTGCCATCTCCGGAAAGAAAGGGAGGGAGGGAGGGGCCGGATCGGCCGCCGCCAAGCGGGAAGAAGAAGGGAAGGAGGGAGGGGCCACCGCTGGTGGGGAAGAAGGGAGGAGGGGAGGGGCGGATCCGGCCGGCGGGGAGGAGGGAGAGGGAGGGGGGGCGGATCCGGCTGACGCCGGCGGGGAAGAAGAAGGGAGGAGGGAGGGAGGGGCGGATCTAGCAGTGCCATGGGAAGAAGAAGGGAGGGAGGGAGGGGGCTGGATCTGTGGAGAGGGGGAGGAGGGAGGGCCGGCCGGGAAGAAGAAGGGAGGGAGGAGGGGCTGGATCCGACGCCAAGGGAGGAGGAGGGAGGGAGGGGGCGGCACGCTGGAGGAGGAGGGGAAATCGCGGGCCGGGGCTAGGGGCGGGTCTTGCGCGAGGAGGGGGTGCGGGCGAATGGGGATGGGAGGGGTGGGCGGGATGAGGGGAGCAGGGAGGGGAGGGGCTGGTTTTTATTGCGGGTGGGGTTATTTATTTATTTATTTTACTTTGCCGAGTGTTGATTTTCAGACACACAGCGAACCTCCGTTTGCCGAGTGTTTTTTCCTGACACTCGGCAAATCCTCTATTTGCCGAGTGTTTTTTTGTTTGACACTCGGCAAACTCCTCTCTTTGCCGAGTGTTTTTTTACCGAGTGTTTTTTGATAGCACTCGGCAAATAATTTGTTCGTCAAGTGTCCGAGGGAATACACTCGGCAAAGAAATAAACACTCGGCAAATTTAAGGATTCCGGTAGTGCATACGAGGAATGCTACTTAACCTTATCTATTTTCTTTATTAAATTTGAAACGCCATACACTGGATTACTTGAAACCACGAGCTCATATGGCTCTCTCCAATATGCATTTGGCTTTCAAACGGAGTGGTGCGTTTATAATTATCCATACCAGTTAATTAATATTAGTCAAGTGTAAACTATACAATTTCTTAAATTGATAGAAAACTCAGCTAATTTAGGGCCCGCTTGAATGTGTTGATGGTTGACGAATAGTTGAAACCGAGTTTGACACAAACGAATGAATTAACTATGATCAAAGTTGAAAAGTTTGCTTTCAAAAAAGTTTTCTAAGAAATATTGAAGACAGTTTACTCAAAAATCTCGTTGTGTTAGTTATACTTATACTGCAGTCCCAACTCTCGGCCTCCCGCACAGGCACAGCGGGTCAGCCGCACCGCCCAGGCACGCCCGACGCACTCCACTTGCGAGCAGCGAGCGGCGGCCGGCGGCGGAGCAGCAAGCGGCGCAGTCAGGCGGGCGCCCCCTCCTAGTCTCCTATATCCCGGCCCCTTGCAGCAGTACACCCGCTTCTCTGCGCTGCGCATCCCTGGGCTGGCCACTCACCATCAAATCGGCCGGTTGGTGGCTGCTGTCTTCACCCCGGCAAGATTCAGCCAGTGAAGAAACTGGCCAGTTCCTTGATCCTCATCTCCTCTGGTCCTCTCCTTCGGTCTGCCTTGTGCTCAGCCCGTGTTTAGTTCGAAATCAAATTCTCAAAAAATGCTACAGTACTCATCATATCGAATCTTACGATACGTGCATGGAGTATTAAATGTAGACGAAAAAAACTAATTACACAGTTTTGTTAGAAATTGCGAGACGAACGTTTTGAGCCTAATTAGTCCATGATTAAACACTAATTATCAAATAAAAACGAAAGTACTACAGCAGTCAATTTCCAAATTTCAGCTAACTAAACACGCGCTGTGCGGTGCTGTGGTAGTGTCGTCATGCTTTAGCAAAGTTTGTGGACAGTCCTTCCTTAGGAAAACACTATGGACTGATTTTTGTTTTGAGTGCTGATACTTCATGTACTTCTGAAATTATATGTGTGGTGTTGCTCAAAAAATTTAATGCCAATACAGTCATTATGAACATATATTTTCTCCCATTACGACCTCACTGGAATATTTGCTACTCACACACACACACGTATACGACTCACCGGACTATGGTGTAGTTTTTGGTTTTTTTTTTCTGCTAAATTTTAGCCCTATGGGTCTGTCACCGGGTGCAAGTGCAACTAGCTTCCTCATACTAAATATAGCAATTACATTATTAGAATGTCCGGCTTAAGGAATATAAAGGTGACCAACATCTCACTTCCAATTTTCTTTTTATTTTCTTTTTTTTTTGGGTGGGGGGTGGTGCGCTTAAGATTGCATCAGTTTATCCATTATCTCCTTGTCTCTACCAGGCTTCTGAGCTGAAAAACACACACCTTGGGCTGGGTTAGTGGCTTGTTTTAAAATTGTTCTGATTGTAATTGTTTTCCTTTTAAAAATTTGGAGAGTATAGTTGATTTTCTATGAAAGTCGATTTAAGCTCGGTTCATCTTGCTAGGCTCGGCCAGACGTTGACAAATATTGATAAATCAATTTCAGAGAAAAGCTGAAAACAAGTGAGCTGACTCATCTCATTATCCACCCGGTGCATATATTGCAAGCAAAACCAAAAAAAAAATGATTTATCTCAAAAAACATTTATGGGATGATCTTATGATTGACAAGCACGGGGTGCTGCCCACCCGCCAACCGCCATCCGATCCACGTACTAGTCTGATCTGAACAGTCGGATTAAGATTCTGACTTGACGAAACAGGTCGGTTGGGTTGGACAGGCCAAAACCAGGCATAGCGATGTCCACTCCGGGGCATCTGTGTCTTTTGGGTCTGGCCCATTTCTTCGCTTCCTTCCGCAACCGCAACCGTGCGTTCCTCCTCCCCCATTCCAACCCAACCCCCAACACCCCCAATCGCAACAGTTTCACTGCGCCACAGCACAATTCCTGTCTCGCACCGCCCGAGCCGGCCACAACAGCGACAGGCCCCTCGCGCCGATCGCCGGGCAATGGGAGCTGGGCGGGGGCGGTGATGGGCGCGGCGGGCTCCAGGCTGGAGAAGGTGCTGGGCGAGCAGTTCCCCGAGGGCGAGCGCTACTTCGGCCTCGAGAACTTCGGCAACACCTGCTACTGCAACAGCGTGCTGCAGGTACGCCGGGGCCGGCCCGAATCTCTCTGCTCGTTGCGATGCGAGCTGCTGCCCCCGTCAGAGGCGTGGGGGATTTGTTGGTTCTCTTCCGTGCGGGGGCGGTGTGGAGCGATGCGTGTTTTGCGAGATCGTGTCGCGGTGATTGCGCCCGTGTGATGCTTCCGCCGAAGATCAGCGCTAGATTTTCTGCGTGGGAGAGTTTTTGTGATTGTTGAGCGGTGCCGGTGATATGTTTCCTGTTCTATTTTTTTGCGACATGATCATAGATCGTCATGTTTGTGTGAACTCAGAGACTGCTCAGTTGGTTTGACATCGGGAAATTGGGGAAACGCATGGTTTCTGTACGTGTTGTAATGCATATATAGCACCTCGCTTCAGCAGTAGGAGCGTTGCCTCACTTCAGAAACCCCTTTTTTTTATACATCGGTGGATTGTGGGGGACTCAGTTTCTGTATGTGTTGACAATTTGAAATGCATGTATAAGCATCATGGTAAAACTCTCCGTTCAGATGTAGGAGCTTTGCCATGGATAGGTAGATGTGGGACATTTTGGTCAGTAACATTTTTTAGAGAAAGATATGGTACTGTTCTCCTCATAATGTGGGATCTAACTGTTTCCTGTTTCAGGCACTTTATTTTTGTGTTCCTTTCCGTGATCAATTGCTGGAGTACTATGCAAACAATAAAAACACCGGAGATGTTGAAGAGAACATGCTAACCTGCCTGGCTGATCTGTTCTCTCAGGTACTACTGCAGCTATTGGTGGTTGTGATTGTTATTCCCATAATCCCATTCTCAACTTCTTGTATATCCTGCAGCATGTAGGAATCACTAAAAAACATGTTGAATCTTGCGCGGAATTGTAGAGATTTTGGTTAATTAATCACAATTCCTGAGCAAAACTGTATCTGAAGATCACTGCAATTGTTAAGTTGTCACATTTATATTGAATAAATACCATCGGATTTCCGCCAATAAAGTTGCTGGTTAATTTGACAGTTTCCCATGATGTCTATAGTTCTACTTGTTGTTATAGACTTAAATTGTTCTTCCTTCCTTAGTTTGAAATCACAAATGATGTTCCAAAGTATTTCTACAGTTTAACCGCATAACACTCTATGTGTGAAATTAGTCCTCAGCAATGAACTACCAAGATCGCCTTGTATCTCTTACCATCCAAAGTGTAAGAGGAGCATGCTAGAAAGGAGCACTCTGTGTTATTTGGATTATATACCTTCTTCTGTTAACCTCTGTAAATTGATAATTTGGACTTTTCAAGCAAATCTGTAATTCAATAAACCTAAACCTGGTCCGAGGAGTAATGCCTGTTAAATGAGAAAATTTCGTAGGACATGCTCCATCGTTGCCTTACTTTACCACTGACTTTTCACAGATAAATTTGTGTTAGCCTTTGTACTGACAGATATTTATGCGCTCGTCAATTATATTGTAGTTTTACACTATTTGTAAGTCTGAAATATGTACGATGTTTTGGGAAAATCCTTTTATCTGGAGGCCTCTTACTAGTGTGACATGTTATTGTTTGATACGAGTGAATATTGGAGTGGACTGAGGAAGAAACCAACAGTCTACTTCAACAAAATAATTATCCCTTTTTCATTGTCCATACAGATCAGTAATCAGAAGAAGAAAACAGGGGTTATTGCTCCTAAGCGTTTTATACAACGATTGAAGAAACAAAATGAGATTTTCCGCAGCTATATGCATCAGGTAATACATTTCGCCAGTGACATCTTCCAATGTGTATTTTGTAGTTTTAGCAAGCTCATGGTCACATTATAGTGTGCTCATCACCTTTTGAGTAACTTTGCTGGCCCTCTGAGATAGGCTGTTAAAACTTGGTGTAGTCTTTGCATGAATCACTATTGTAATTTTTTCCAGATGTGTTTTTAAGTAATTTCCATGTGAAAGATGCAACACTGAATTCAAGGTTCTATATGTTCCCCAAAAAAAAAAAAAAATTCAAGGTTCTATATTAGTATATTCAACTCCTTGCAATATCAGGAAATCATGGGAACCTTCAATCTGAATCTTACATATCCTGACTGTACCCTATGTTCCATAGATAAATTTGCTTAATGGCACCTGGAGATGGTTCCCCGCCAGATTTATGGAGAATCTTAAACATTTTAGAATAAGTTCTGGATTTGTAAAGGCCATCTCTATTTTGGCTATTTATCAGTGATTAACTATAATCCTGGGTATATGAGTTATGGTAATAACTAATAACGGTGCAGCATTTTAAGACATGTTGAAAAGATATGTAGTTAATTGTTTTTTATGAAATATGTAGTTAATTGTTGCTATAAAAATTATGTTCTCTTCCAAGATCATGCCATTTATATCATGCTTTTTCAATCATTGTAGTGTAACCTTTTTGTATAGACTGTGAACTCACACTACTGTACTTTACAGGATGCTCACGAGTTTCTGAATTTTTTACTGAATGAGCTAGTTGACATTCTAGAGAAGGAACATAATGCTGCAAGAGAGTCTCTTCAAAATCTCTCGTTCCCAAAGAATTCAAATGGTCCTATTGATGGCCAACCCAATGGTAGTCACAAAGAATTAGCTGCCACATGGGTTCATAAATGCTTCCAGGTGAGATTTCATTCATTTGTTCTAGGATGCTTTTGTTTGTGTGCCTATGGCATGAACATGAACTCCAGCTTCTGCTTATGTTACAGTCTTATCTTGTAGAATTGCCTATAATTCTTAATTTTGTTCCTGTAGGGAATATTGACTAATGAAACAAGGTGTCTGAGATGTGAAACTGTGACTGATAGAGATGAAACATTTTTTGACCTGAGCCTGGACGTTGAACAGAATAGTTCACTCACCAGCTGTCTTAAGAACTTCAGCTCAACAGAGACTTTGAATGCTGAGGACAAGTTCTTCTGTGACAAATGCTGCAGGTATGTTGTTCTCATCCCTTCGCCCATAGTCCATGTATATACTGTCTTCTAATATTTTGTCCTGGCTAACATTGGTTCTGTAGAATATCATTTGAGGCATGTGTTTATGTTAGTTCTTGGCTCCGCTTGTTTTGCCTTTTTTTTTAAAAAAAAAAATGTTCTTGAATCTACTGCAAATTATCCAATACCTCTAGCAGATCTTCTGTGCTAATGGCTTGGTTACCCTTCTGTTAGTAGATGTTTTTGTCCCACATAACTGTGATTTTATATATTGTGATGCTATATCATTTTTTCCAATTACATATGTTTTGATGAATTTGTTCTTCACTTCAGTTTACAGGAAGCACAAAAAAGGATGAAGATAAAAAAACCACCAAACATCCTAGTAATTCATCTCAAGCGGTTCAAGTATATTGAGCAGCTTCAGCGCTACAAAAAACTATCATACCGAGTGGTTTTCCCACTGGAGCTTAAACTTCTTAACACAGTTGATAATTCGGACTTAGAATACTCCCTTTTCGCTGTGGTAGTTCATGTTGGAAGTGGACCAAATCATGGCCACTATATCAGTTTGGTTAAGAGCCACAATCATTGGTTATTCTTTGATGATGAGAACGTTGAGATGATTGATGAGTCCATGGTACAGGCATTCTTTGGTTCACCGCAGGAGTTCAGTGGTAACACTGATAATGGCTACATACTCTTCTATGAAAGCCTTGCTGAAAGAAGTTGATGTCCTCATACCATGTGATTAGTTATACAATTTTCTTTTCCTTCCATTTCTGCTGGGGATATATAGAATATTCAGTGAAAAGTAGAATAAGCTGAATGAGAGGCCTTCAGCTTCAGATGTTATGGTACAATCAACACTTGGCAATAAAACAAGTTACCTGGAGGGGCTATAGGCATAGCTAAAGACGCCGACTAGTTTGTAGTTCCTAATTTATGTTGCTTTTATGCATATGCAGGTTGTATCAATTCCGGAATAATGTTTGGTGAAGACCTTTATTATCATGTAAAGAGATTCTATCTAGGAAGCCTTTTTTGGTTTCGAGTAAAAATTTTGTTTCTTAGATAAAAATCTCCTGTCGATCTTCATTCATAGGATCCTCACCTGCTCATCGGTAGCTGACATAAGTCCTGTACAGTTTCCAGATTACCTTCTTTGTGTTATTGTGTCCTGCTCCTATGGTACATAACATATTTCAAAAATTTGAAGATGGATCTAAGTTTATCTCAAAAGCTACATATTGGTTGAATTCTGAATGCTTCTATGCATAATGGGAAGAAAAAAAAAATCTGTCCTTCGTATCTGAAGATAAGATACGATACAGCCGAATTTGGATGTCTAGGCCTGTTAAGGGCCTGTTCGCATGCAAAAGTATGCTTAGGGCCTGTTTGATGCAAAAGTATGCTTAAGGTTTTAGAAAAATACCATTGTCATTTCTCAAAAAAAAAACCATTTTGTTGATTTCAAAAAAAAGATAGAAAAGTACTACAGTTTTACAAAATACTTTGGTTTTGAAAATCTATGACGTGTTTGGCAACGATAAACCATGTGGTTTTGAAAGTCATGACATTGTTAAGACGGTAGGTAGTATTTGCACACGGTATCTAAAGTATAGCTTGGGGTATTACATAGGATGTAATGGCCATGATCACTTGTATGAAAAGCTAATAAATAGTACATCTGAGTGGTTTAGATTTTAGTGGTTTTGATGTGTGATTGTAGTTGAGTTGTATACTCGAATGATTGTATATTTTGAACATTTTTCCTTTTTCCCCCGAAAAATTGTGGTTTTGCACATTTCTTTTAAAACTATATCTTTTAAAAACTATAACATCGACACTATTTGAAAAGATGAGAAACTGGTAATCCTTGGTTGGGTAGGTGTCCAACGACAGCTCTACTATGTGCTTAAAGTTAGAGAAAGGAGAGGAGGCAAAGTGGAAGCAAGTGGGATCTGACATTACTATGAGTTGGATTTTTTTCCCCTTCAATAGCTGTGAGAGGAATTAGAGCAGATGCAAGCCGACTGAAGCTGTTTTGTTATGAGAGAAAAATATTATACTATGACTGATAAGCCAGGCTGATAAGTTTAAGCGAACAGTGGACATGGGTAGTACTAACTTTTTTTTGTATCAGGCAGTACTAACTATTAAATGACAGTACTAGTCGTTCAAATTTGCATCAGGTAGTACGTAGAACGAAGTAGAGTAACTAGTAAAAAAAATTTGCTCACCGGGCACGAAACTACGCAAGCCAAATTAATAGGTTCAAACTAAGCAAAGCAATACTAGTTACTCTACTTCGTTCTACGTACTAGCTTAAAGCCTCTCCGCATGTAAACACGCGTAGTTAATCCACTCCAAGCACGAAGCTAATGTCGACGAAGTAGACGATGAAGCTAAAGACGGTGGTGAAGGCAGCAGCCGTCTTGAGGGTCCAAAGTTCATAATCTCATCGAGGTGCAGGATGTACCTCCTCCGTCCCCAGATACATGTTGTTGTATGGTTCAGAAATTGTCTCACAATACTTGACGTTATAGGCCAACATATCAGTCTAATCAAAGCCAACTTACATCAAGCGGTTAGATCCTGTTGTTAGATTGATCTCCCAGCCAATAAGCCGAACGGCCTATTAGGCCTTGGTCACGTGCCCTGATTGGGGCGCCCAACCCTACATGGTTGGTGGGCCCCCGTCGCACTGCGCTATATAAAGTGGTGGGGGCCGGCGGCTCGAGGTACGAGGTTCACCGTGAGCCGCAAACCCCACCTACAAATCCTAGACCGATCTCGAGAGGGCGGCGCAGCCACGTGACGGAAGCTCCACCGACTTTCGCCGTGCCATCGCGCCACACCGTCGTCTGCAGACCGCATCGACGTCTGTGCCACCTCTACTCCACCCGTCGCTGCCCGTGCGCAGACCTTCATCACCGAACCTGAGATGGCCGGCTCCAGTTCATCCGCGACTCCCTCCGAGGGCTCAGGTTCAACACCAACACCTCTCTCTATCTCTCTGTCTACACCTCTCGGTCTAGATGTACTAGGGCTTATCTAGATTAACTGGTTACCTAGAAGTCCCTCGGTTCTACTCTAGATCGTTTCTATGGATATAACATTGGTACCAGAGCCACGGTTTAGGTATAGATCTGGCTTAACAAATAGAAATCCAGTGCGGATCTAGAATGTAGAAAGGGGCTTCAGCCGACAAAGGGTTCGGTTGAACCCTAACCTCGATCCCTTTGGATCTGAGAAAAGATGTAGGTTCGGATGAAAGAAAATCTAACCCTAACCCTAGATAGGGTTCGGGAAAAGAAAGAAAAGATACATCCAAACCCTAGATCGGGTTTTGGGACGAGAGATGATAACATGGTTTCAACTGAAACCGAACCTCAAACACGTGAAGATCACGGGGAAGATAAAGCAGTGAAAAACCATCCCCAAACCCTAACCCTAATCCCCAAATCGGATGAAATCCGTGCACAAGAACCAAAGAAAGAAAGGGGAAGAAAGGGAAGGGGGTGGCCTACCTCGCCGTTGCGTGGAACTACAGTCACGCCGGCGTGCGGGGAAGAGAAAGGCCGGCTCGGGGTACTTCTCACGGAACAGGCCTGTGGGTGCCACGCTGAAGTTGCTTTCGGGCGGGCGTGCTCACCAGGAGCACGACGCCGGCGTAGGGGGCCGGGCGACGCGCCGGACTCATTGCCGCTTCTCGCCGTCGAAGCTCGTCACTCGGTGTTGCGGTACTGAGGAGAGAAGAGAGAGAGATGTGAGGCGAAGAGAGAGAGAGAGCGAATGAGAATGAAACTAGGGCGGGTTTTTAATCGTCCAAACTCACCGCTCGGCTGTCGGATGTGAACAGACGGCTCAGATCATATGGGCGTTGTCGCGGCTCAAAGCGGTATGCACGGACGCGTGAGATTTTTTGCCGCCCAGCCCAAAGTTGCGGCCTGGGTGCGGCCCGAGCGCCATGAAGGAGTGGGTCGTGGGCGGTTCTTATACCGCTATGGGCGAAATTGCGAACATGTTGAAATTGAATTCATTTTTATGTTCCAGAAACTTTTGATTCATATTTGATAAATTCAAACTGAATTTTGATGTTGAAATCTGTACAATTTTGATCTAACGTCAATTTTGTTCAGAGAATAGTAAAGTGTTGTAACAGTTTCTGGAAAATAGAATTAAAAGATTTATTAAAGTTTCCGCTGCGTGCTTAAAAATTGTTGTTTTCATTATTAAATTCGAACCAACGGGAGAATTTAATTTTGAAACATAGATAATTTTTACAGTTATTATAATGTTGTTATTATTCTAACCAACGTTGATTAATAGCAATATTATAATATTGATGTTATTATAGTCTTTTGTTATGCATTATATCTATTTCTGTCCAACGGTGATGTAGATTTAATGTATAAAACAATTATATGTTTTAATTTTGACCAACGTTAAACTAAGGCATGCAATTGTTGTTGTTATTATTTGTGTTCTCACACTATTTGAATTATGTTTTCAGGAGGATACAACTTGATGAGTTGTATCAAAGAGATCCCCACTCTAAAAGGTGATAACTATATTGAGTGGAAGAAAAAGATAGACCTGACTTTCATCCTCGCTGAGGTGGACTGGGTTGTCACCACACCGTGTCCCAAAGAACCTGTGGCACCGGTGAGAGAGACAGATGAGACTAATGCTGCCTGGCAGAATAGAGAGCAGGACTTTGCTCTCGTAAAGATGTCTTTTGACCTTGAAAATAGAAAGTGGGTCACAGCTAATAAAAAATATTTGGCTGTGATAAAGAATACAATTGAGCCTGCAATAGTGGGCTCAATTCTAGACTGTAACACGGTCACAGAGTACCTAGAAAGAATAAAGAGTCAGTTCACTGGCTCTTCAAAGACATATGCAACCCAGCTGATCAAGCAGCTGGTTACAGAAAGGTACTCTGGTGGCGACAGTGGCATTAGTGAGCACATACTGAGAATGAGCAATCTGGCATCTAAGCTCAAACCAGTGGATTTGGCACTCAAGGATGAATTTCTTATTCATTTGATTTTTTGCTTCTTTGCCTAAATAATTTGACATCTTTGTTGTTAATTACAACATACAGCCTGAAAAATAGGATTTAGAAAAGCTCATAGCCATGTGTGTGCAGGAGGAGGAAAGAATAAAAGTTTCACAGGGTGGTACTGTGAACTACCTAAAAGATAACAAAAAGAACTATAATAACAGCTCTTCCTTCAAGTCATCTGGAAAGGGTCCCATGCAACAGTCTCAGAACAAGCAATTTCCAGTGGATAAAGATCAGTGTCTCTACTGTAAGAAGACGGGACATTATAAGAAGAATTGTCCCGATTTCCTAAAGATGATAATGAAAAATAAAGGTGAGAACATTATTACGTTCGTAAATGAATCCTTGTATGTCAAGTTTTCAAAATCTACTTGGTGGATTGATTCAGGTGCAACTATTCATGTTGCTAATTTATTATAGGGATTCCGTTCGATGAGAACTTTGCAAAGAAGCGAAAGTTTCATTAAAGTCACAAATGGTGTACAAGCAGATGTTGAGGCCGTTGGCGATCTTCCACTAGAGCTTGCTGATATCTTCATACTTTTTCTTAGAGATGTTCTTTATGTACCTTCTTTGCAAAGAAACTTGATTAGTGTATCAAAGTTGGACCATGATGGTTATGATTGTCATTTTGGAAATGGCAAATGTCAGATATTGTT